TGCCTTGGTGTCCTTCCTGAACAAAAATAATGACAGACCTCTGAAAGTGATATTGTTCAGAAATTCAGATACCCACGGTCCTTTGGAAGAGTATGTCAGGTAAGAAAAGGAGGATTTTATAGCCTGATAGAAAAATAAGGAACTCTAGAGCTGGACAGTTAACATTTCCTGACTTCCCAATGCAGTGCAAAGGGAAATGCTTACGGTGGTGCAGCTGCTGAGGTGATAGTTACAGACACAGAGACCATAGGTTGGTTCTGACTGTGGAAGGCTGTCTCTTCCAAGGCAAGTGGAGGAGAAAATGTTAGGAGGTCTTCCATCACTCACCTTTGCTAGATGGAGAGTTTGAAGAGTATCAATATTTGACATATGACTGTCACCTGAACACAAAAATTATCTTTTAACTCTACCTATCCAACTCTGCAGCTCCTGTGTGTTTCTGCACTGTACCAGTGTGTGGCCTGATCTTCTTACAGGTAGAGGAGGGGTGACTGGTAATGGTTGTGGCTGAACTCCAAGTTTATGGACAGCTCTGTTTTCCTGGGGTCACTGGATTTGCTATGGTGCTCAGAGCCAAGTCAAAGATGTCTGTGCTGTACCACAACATTCTTGATGGACCTGCAGAGTGTAATTAGCTTTAAATTGAGAAAATAGCTGGGTGTTTTGCTTGGTTGGTTTTTTTGCTTTTTTTGGTGTGTTGTAGTTTTATGTTGGAGCATTGGCGGGGGAGGGGGTTGTATATCTCTATAAATTCTATTGTAACTGTTGGGCTCAAGTAAGGCAGCTGGATGCCTTGAGAACCTATGTGTGTCCTGGTTCAATGTCGAATTAGCTCCAGCCAGGAAAAATTGGAGGGAGATTGTGAGTGGGAAAGCAGGAGAAAAAGACAAAGCCTTGTGAAGAAAAATATTTAAAACCCACAAACATACAAAACCAAAAGTCCACACCCAAAAAACCCACCTCATCCTGGCCTTTCCCTGATTTCAGTTAATGACACTTGGTGCATGCTCTGAATTAATCTGTAAAATGTTTTCTCAAAGTGATATCAGTAAGAGACATTTTTGGGGAAAAAAAAAAGAGATACTTGCTTTTGGCATTACAACTTCACAGATTTGACTTTATGGTTAACTATAGTTGTGTGTGTGATTCAGGGATGAGTGGACTATTTAGGGCATGAGTTTTGCTGTGTGAAGGTTTTTGTGTTGTTTTACCATTTCTGCAAGAGAGGGGAATTGCCATATCACTCCCATTGCAGCCAAGTGTGTAGCAACAGACACTTTTGTAATAAACACAAGCCATAATTTGTGTCAGTAAAGGAAACAAATGGAAAACAAATGAGTTAATGTAACCTCAGGAAAGAAGGAAACAAATGGATTGTAGAACTTAATTGCACCCCCATAAAGACATAAAAGAGACCATCACCTTCCGTGCTCTCCTAGACATCAATTATAGCCGAACTAGGTCAGGTCAATAGAATGCTGGCGTCTTTTGTCGAGAAATATATGAATTTATAACTTGTTGTAGAGATAACAAATTAGTCTTAGCTGTAAAAAGAAACATGTTGAATACCTGGAATAGCGATGTAAAATGTGTATGTATGTGATGTAATGAATATGTATGGGATGTCTGAAATAAGTACCAGACACATACACTGCATCGGGGTAGCAGGTCTTGGAGCTAGATTCCCCTGTCACCCAGTGCTGCTTGCTTCTACTATGTAATAAGTTCCAACTTGGAAACTTATTATACCTTGAGACTCTGTTTCTCACACTTTCATGTTTATCCTAAAAGTAAGGTGCTGCAAAAGCATATAAAATACTATGATGACCTGAAATATAAAGAGATAGCTGAGATATTTCCCCAATAACACCCTTAAAGCAAATAATTTTAATTTTATTCTTTCCCATTTATTTCTTTTACAGTACAGTAAACTGTAGATCAATTTTTTCTCTTGCACCCTTACAGTTTCTGCTATACTGCATTTGATTGCTTGTTTGATACTTACTCATTTCCCCTGGATCAATTCTGGTTGCCAACTTATTGTATATAACATTTTTAATGGAGGAAATGCCATCCTTAGAATAAATGGTCAGTGAAGTGCATCACTGATTCAACCTGCCTGGCTGTCATAAGCTTCAAAGACAGGCCATCGAGCACTGCAGAAATGAGCCATACATTCCTCAGGCCTTATTGTATGAGACAGATGAAGTCAGTTGAGCAATGAAAAACAGGTACTGAGCTGTGCTAAGCTTTCACTGGTGATGTTGAGGACCCCACCATGAGGCTTTTGTCAGAGATAGCCAGGAGGGATATTTCTGCATCAAGGACAATCCAAAGGTCTAACAGGTTCTTTCCAAACAAGGATGGAAAGTCAAAATATCAATTTTAATGAAATGTGTTATGTAGCCTAGAGAAGGGATCTGGGAAGAAGAGGGAAAGCTGTTCTTTATTCTCAAGCCATTGCAGGCTATTGCAAAAAGAAAGCAATAGTTTTTTCTTCTTCCCTATGTGGAATAAAACAAGAAACTAAGAAATTAATTTTAGATAGGCTAAGACCTCAGGAAACTCTTAGAATAGACAAGGAAAGAATAATCGGAAAGCTTGTGGGGCCTCCATCACTGAAGTGCTGTAAGAACAGGTTAAGTGAATGCCAGCTGGGAAAGGCTGAAGTACAGGTGGTTCTTGAAACAGGAGAGACCCCTTAACAGGATTTAGCACATCCTTACCTTCTTTTGCCTCACTGCAACATTTTATTCTGGATTACATTTGATTTTAAAGCTCAGAAGTGTCTGAAAGGTATGTGAGTTGTAGCTTTATGTCTATTTAATACTGTAGCATCTACCACATTACCACTAATATACCAGATTTACCATATAAATCATGGTAATTTGCTTAGCTATATATAACTACAGAAAAAGACATTCACTAATTGCCTGTGAAAATTCTAATTATGTTCTCAGGAAATGTTCATACACTGATCTTCCAGGGTGACAGATCTTTATTCATATAAAATTTTAATTTAATTTTGCATGGAAAAACTAGATCTAGCTTCCCAAAAGCGAGTACAGCTATTAGGAACCCAACTTGAAACACTCATGTTTGAAGAATAAAGTCGGTAAGTACTGTGCCACCCATAGGCTAAAACTGAAAGCCAGACCTGCAGAGCTATAGGAGTGAATCCAGTCATTCACTCTGTCATATTAGTGGTGGAAATACAAACCTACAGTCCAGCTGAAAAAACAAATTCCTAAGAGAATGAGATGATGCCATAGGTTGCAAGCTCTGTTTTAAGGACCACATCTGCTTTATACCTTCAGGTTTTGGAATGGTTGTGTTTGAAAGGGCAGATTTCTAAAATGCTAAAACAGTTTTCCAATGGTGATGCCTTTCTCCATGTCTGATAAATACATTTGTAAGATGAATATTTTTTTCAGTTAATATACCTTAGTTTTCTCTAGAAGCCTGTTACCATTTTGATGGATGCAAGCTTTAGAGTTAAACACAAGCTCTGTTTTAAAAGAGGAAGGAGTGAAACTGTGTTGCTTTGGTAAGGAGGGGAAAAAGGAGAAATCCTTTGCCCTCTCAGCTGAGGGAGGGCTTTGGAGCTGCAGAGCAACACTACATTGACACTCTGCTGGGCAAGTAAGACCTTGCAAGGCATCTTGGCAAAGAACCTGGCTTAATGCCAAGGCTTGGTCAAAGGAACTTGTCTTCCGGTATTTTTAAGTGATTTATGTGTCAGGCAGACAGTTGGGCTGGCTGGTCACAAAACCCAGCTGGAGGCTAAGAAAAGGTACTTCTCATGCTAGAAGGCTTCTACTCTAACCAGTAGCCTTGCATCTGGTTCACTGAAGTGAAGTTCCACATTAAGACAGAGGAGCCTTCAAACCGCTTAAGTTACAAATCTCTCTTCAGTTCACTTTTTTCTAGAGCAGGGAGCTGGTGCTGCAGTATGTATCATAAGAGCTCCTGAGCAGTAAGACCCAGTGTAGTACACAGTAGAGTTTGAGACTGGAAGATAGTGTTGGGGAAAGGAGGGCTCTGCATTCAGTGCAGGCTTTGCAATGTGGAAGCTCTAAATTCATTCCTCAGGTCAGCAAAATGCTGTTAGCTCCGTGTCTTCTGCCTTTTGGGAATTGCTTTTCCATAATTAAAGCTAGATCTCTTGCTGGGAAACCCTTGATTTTGTGTACAACAGATTGAATTAAATTGCATCTTGTCACTGAGGTACTGTACTGAGAAATCCCATATGAAGTAGCTGGTGTGCAACCCTTGCCGGTTAGCCTCTTCTGACTCTGTGCTGCTCTAAATTGCCACGAAAGAGAATCAGGGCTATATCAAAACCCTCTGCCATCCCCCCAGGGGACTAGGGCCCTTGGAAACTATGCACCCTTGTCTCCATTCTAAGTAACTGTGAGGTTAGGCCCATGGTGCAGGGGCAACAGTGAACGGCTGGCTCAGAGACAGACACTTCATTTTGCAGGGAGATTTTTGGTACTGATGGCAGTTCTGCTGGATTCCTGCATACAAGAGGAGAAAATTCAACCTCTCAGTGTCCCAAACAGCAGCATAACTAGTCAAGCTAAGGTGAAAGCAAGCCAGAAAGCATTAAGTGCTGCTGTCTAGATTCATCTATCCAAGCACCAAGTATGCTATAGCTCAGCAGGTAAGTCTGGCCATCAGATGAGGACAGACTCCTGCCAGTCTTGCCCATAGCACAGCAAGATCCCTGACAGAATCTGTCAAACAAAAATACTCAAGTTAAATTTAGTGAGATACAGTGGGTTTTTTTTAAGTGGCACAACTTGCCACTTATCTCTCATTTAGTGACCTCTCTTTTAGTGAAGGATTTTGTCTTCAGGGTAATGCCAGCTTCTGACCTGAGATCCCATACCATAGCCAGCTTTAGCAAATCCCATGGTACAGAACTGGTTGTACCTTGTATCACAACTGAGTTGTTTTACAGAAGTTGAGAAAATACTGACAAAGAGAGAACCAGGTATATCAAAATAAAGTTTATTCTTAAAATGGCTAGTTCACACATAACAGCAAGGATTACATAGCGGAAAAGTGCAATTAGTGGAGGAGATTTATTTCACCTTAGTAATTATCATCTCACTGCACTGCAAATAGCTTCACACTCAGGATATTATACTTCTTAGCTGTGGACAAAAATGTGATTTATATTTTGATGTTAACAGCATTTCTGTACAGCTAAAAGGTGTGCCAATATTCACACCCGCTGAGCATGTGTTGGACAATTTCTCAGACAAGTCTCGCATGAAACACAGATCACCTTTAGAGTTTGACAGCTCAGAAAGCTAAATTATAAGCATGCGGATACAAAATATATATTAGTTTATTGAAGTCTAAAAAAAAAACTTCAAAAATGAGGTAAAATAGAACAGTTTTCTATGTGCGAGCCTATATTCAGTCTAGAAAAAACTAGTAGCAGCCTTGCTCTTTAAAAGAAATTAGTTTTCACAAAGTGCAACTAAATTCACTGTCTTCAATATGAAGGACCTTGCCTATGTTATGCACTTGTGAAAAGTCATTGCTAACTTTGCAATTGGGAGTAGGATACTCATGCTGTAAGATTAGATCAGGTGATGAACAGAAGCACCTAATGCTGCTACAGATCAAGAAATTTACAAATTGCTATTTTGTCACCTGACCCCATTTCTGGCATATTAGGGTGGCTTGAAAATTTTTTTTAAAAGCACGTTTTTCTTTTAACATTAAAAGGTAACCATCTGCCTGCTAAGTGAGTAGGATGGTGAAGTCAAGGTTAGATTTGTTATCAAATGCAAGGCGTTCTCAAAGCCAGTGAGGATAGACATCTTCTCAAAGTCATAGTCACTTCCACCACTCACTTTGTTTTATTTTCTTTAGTCTTTTTATCTCCTAGAACTTCCCCTGGGATTTAGAAAAACAGCTTTGGAAAGAAGCAATTAGAACATTGCACATCTCCAAGTTACATAGCACATTCTACCTCTTCTTCTTTTCTTACTTCTCCGTTATCCTGTCCAAGTTTCTTAACCTATATTGAAGCCAAAAATCTTTGCAATGCATCCCTACCTGCCTCTGCTACAAGCACATAGAGGCTCATAGCAAGTCTCTTGACAGCATCTACTGCACTCCTAATAGGTGCAATGTGAATTGTGACATTCTGTTAATATAACAGCCCTGTGCACACACACATACTCTGACGCATACAGTTATTACAGCTTACTAACATACCATTGCCTTCCATACTACTTTGCAAGTCTCTCCCCTAGAGTGACCCAGGAGACCTGACAACAGAAAGAAAGCAGCATATACTGGAGATACGGGCATGCTATTCCTATACTAGGTGGCATACACGTGTGTTTTATCTCGGTTTTCTTTCCTTCCAAGGATAAGGTTTGGCTAAGAACTTCAGTAGCATAATATGGTTTAACAAGTCCCACAGACTAGTGAATTTGGATTTCTTCAGACAGCAAACAAAACCTGCCAGGTGGTTTCATCATGTAGTATGTGAACCAGAAAACTAATGCTGTTCTGTTGCCAAATGGAAGAATAATTCCTTGGTATTATGGATCACCAATATGGTGATGAATTTTCAATCCGACCCAAACTCTGCCACTGGGGAAAGAGGCCACTGGACAGCCTCGGACTGCCAAGCTGATCAGGCTCTTTCTCTTGTCCTCTCCTTGGAGTTTGAAGATCTACACAGTCTTCCTTGGCAGAGGGTATCTGAACACCATCAGGCTTCCACTCTGCATGAACAATCTTGTAATTCTGACCCTCGTTATTGTCCCAGAAGGTATGTCCTTCACTTTGGTAAGAAATGCAAAACTCTATCTTCTCTTCAGAGGAAATGGCAGGAGGCAAGTCGATGGCAAATGAGAAGGTATCGTTTTCAGAATCGCTGTAAACATTGTTCATGTACACACACTCAACATCCCTGTAGGTCTTCCACGTATCAAAAGTAATTCGTACCTGAACCTTTTTCTCAAAGCTCACGTTTTTTACTTTCACAGTGCCCGACAGCACCTTCTCTTGCAGGGCGCAGTTCTCCAGGCAGACCAAGTTCTTCTGCAGGAGGTTCCTGAAGTCCAGGTAGTCAGCTGAGGGCTGAGGGAAACCCAGAATCAAGTTTTTCTCCTCGTGCAGTTTTAAGTTAGATGTTATGTGCTCAATGTCTAAGAGGTCAAACTGAAGATCCCACCCAGGGTGCTCCTGGAACTCAGAGAAGGTGTGTATCGCCGTCAGGGACAGCCCCTTCGAGTCCGCAAACACGACTCGTTTCTTGGCTCGGGCTGGCGAGTGGTTCCAGTCGTTCTCTTGATCTTTGGAGTCACGTTTCACATGCAGGCACGGTCTGAGAGGTTTGAGTCTGTTCACAAAGTTGTTTCTTTGGCAGTCCTCGAGAGGGCTGAGGAAGCTCTTCAGTGGTGGAGAATGGGCTAGGCAAATTCGCATGGCCATGTCCACAGGCATGATGGAGCTTGGCAAGGGTCTCGGGTCCAAGACCTGTATCATTCTGAAAGAAATAATAATGTCCTGTGTTTTTGCTAATTACATCAGATAAGAAGCTTCTTAAGAATGCATATTTGCTTCATCCACTCTCTTAATTATTCATGGCCTTGTCTCTGCACAGCTTTAAACAATGCAGCCTAAATTAAAATTGACAGTTCTACCTAAGGAACTAGGGTGAGACTAGCCAGTCATTACTTGCCAATCCTGAACTTCTTCAATTCAAATCTTTGCTTTATGCAAACCTCTGAAAAACAGATTTTAGTAACAGCTAATTGAGCATATTTCCTTGAAAATACAGGAAAAAGAAAATTCTAGTAACCAGTAAAACAGATCCAGTTAAAGTGGAAGTGCTCATCCACTTTAGCTTCCCTCTTAGAGGCTCTAACCCAGGTCTTAAAATTCCAACAAGCTGGATCAGCTGCTTCATCTCTGGAGAGAGACAGCACTATATTAAGCAAGTTGACCATCCCATCAGAACATCAAATGGGATTCTATGTACCTTGAAGCAGAACCATCACACTGTGGCTTTCAACCGTCAGTCCACGTTTTAGACATTTATTTTGAATAACTCAAATGAACAAAAATCCTAAAGCACCTTTGGAAATATCTTCTATGAGCTATTAACCCAGGTCTAAGTAATACAGCTCTTTGCACTGTTAATGTTGACTGCTGAGTGAAGAGGGGGAAAAAATGAGGGAGGGGAGAGACCTCCTTATGCTTCAAGAATTGGCTTAAAACCAACTTTTGATAATCCCCAAAGACCATGACAAAAGCCTACTGCAAGTATTCAATAAGAATGCTACAGCTTTATTTGTAAAAGCTTACTTATAATGCTCTCAGATGATGAATATCACAATTACTATGCAAGAACATGGCCCATTCAAGGCCAGTTAGTTTGAATATTTGTAAAGAGGGGCTTCGAGGGCAGCACATCCCTACTGAGATGGATGCAGTCCTTGCTGGAAATGCAGAATTTTGTTGAGTCATAGAAAGGCATAGGCTTTGCCACTTAAATAAAATAGCTTTCTGCTTCCCAGAGTTCTCCCTGGTATTCCAGAGCCCTGCCAAAACCAAAGTAGAATCTGTGCTGGCCTCGCCTCCTTTTTTTTTTTTTTTTTTTTTTTTTTTTTTTATTGTGGAGGTATTTGCCATAATAAGAAGTAGAGATTCGAGAGTACCCGAATCAAACTAATGAAGTTTTGCTTTGCTTTAATAGGAAAAGAACTCGGGTTTGAAAAATACTCTCTCTGCAACTTTGGTGACCTGCTGCTCCTGAGCTTGTGCAGTGTCAAAAAAAAAAAAAACAAAAAACCAAACCACGCAAACCAAAAAACCCGAAATAACAAAAAATAGCCAAGCAGGCAAAAGCCGACGCCACAACCTGAGAAAGGCTGCTGGAGGAGGCAACACCGAGCAGGCAGGGAAGGGTCGAACAGCACCGCGGGGCACTGCCCGGGCACAGGGGACCCGCAGGGGCGGGAGGGGCGCGGAGCAGAGGGAGCCTCGGCGCTGCGCTCCCCGGGGCCGGCTCCGCTCGCAGCCCCGGCCGGGGCGGAGCGGGGCCGGCGCTTACCTGGTGCAGTGCATGGGGGCCGCGCCGCCGCCGCCGCCGCCGCTGCTGCTACGGGGCCGCTCCCGCCGCGCCGACGCCTTTATGGGGCCGGGCCGCGGCCCGCGGCCAAGGGGCGGCCCCGGCCCGGGCGGGGCCGTGTAGGGGGATGGATGCTGCCGCTGCGTCCGGGCCGGGCTGGGGGTGCCCGTGTCGTGCCCGTGACACCCTCGTGCTTACACACCCCCAGGTTCCCTCTCCTTCCCCCCATCCCGGTCTGGCACTGCCGTGTTCTCCCGTCCTTTAGGGAACGGCAGGAGCGAGGCCCCCGCAGGGCGGCTGCGGAGCTGCGGAAGAGCAGGGGCTCCGAAGAGGCTCCTGCTGATGGATGCATGGCACATGGATCAGTATGCTGTCTGCACGTATAATGAGAGTATTCATAGGACAGTAAGACTTCAGTTTCTTAGCTCTGCTGCTTGGTGACTGAAGTTCCTGCCTTTCGTGACAGTACATGACACTAAGTGTCACACAGATGAAGCCTGAAGCACTAACTGGCAATGCAGACAAGGCTTTGGAAAATACTGCTCTATTTCCTGGTGCCAGTTATTCGGGACGACCTTCCCTGGTCCTGTGCTTCTCGAGTTGCATCCCTGCTGCTCCCATTACTCTTCCTCTTCTTTACCTTATCTTTTGGTCACTGCAGCTCCCTCTGAAAGACAGATGATATTTTCTCATCATTTGCTAGAGAAAGTGCTAGAAAACAGCACCTGTGTGTTGGAAGCCTTGCTAGTAGCCTTACTAGTTGCAAAGGGTTAATTTTTCTTTAGGAGGAACTACAAATACTTTCAGCTCCAGCAGCCTGCCTGGCAGCAGTAAGCCAGGCCCAACACCCCCCATGGGTATAAGGGAGGACTGGGCACATGGCTGGCAGTTATCAAATCTCTTCTATTTACCCATTATAAAAAATGAGTTAATAACTCTGGAGAAGTTTTATGAGCCTGTGCTACTTGAATGTTTGTCCATGCAACTTCCCCCACAGCACCACTTAGCTGGGCTGCTGCATTATCAGAGATCACGTGCAGCAGCTGAGGCTGCTCTATCACACTATCTGCAGGCATTAGATAAGAGCTGCTTGAAGCCTGCACAAAAGGAGTTACCTCAAGGCTTTGCTACACATATTTCTGGTACTATGTAGTAGCTCGTTGCACTGTTTGCTGCTATGAAATATTTTGCTCCTGTTGTGTTAAAATACCTGTTTTGCCTGACTTGGAAAACATAATGAAAGATTATTTAAAGTTATATGCTTAGCAAAAAAAAAGTACTGAGATGCAGAGCCTTTCATGTGGAGATCATTGCCCAAGTCAGTAAATATGGACTGCATACAGCAACTTTGTGCCTAATTGGTAATCTGGAGCACATTCATGGCCGTGGACTGGTGCCCCAGTTTCCAGTTGCCAATACAAGCAGAGAGCACTGTGCAGGGCCAGGGAACTCTTTCCTCATCCGAGGAGGCATCCCTGAATCGAGGCAAACTGATAGGGTTGTCTGAATTAGCACACCAGTTTGTCCTGTCAGTGATGATTCCCTAGCTGTGCTTTTTATAGAGGTCTCAGGTTTCCAGATACTTTGGTTCTGCAGCTCTTCTGTCATCAGCAGATCTATCTGTCTTACCTTTCAAAAAGGAAAATGGGAAAATGCTAAAATGGGAGTACCAGAGGAAAAACATTCATTGTCTTACTATGCATTTGACAGCATTTTGTGGTATTTCAGCTTTTCTGACATTTGTAAGTGCACAATGGCAGAAATATATTCCTGGAAGAGGCAAGGCTGATTATAAAATCAAGACCCATCATAGGGGGTTGTACTTCCAACTGCTTCTGTAACAAGGAAACCCAAACTGATCACCCATACTAGTTCTTTGTCTTTTCCTGAATAAGTTGCACATTAAATATAGTAAGATAATTGCAACAAGTTAGCAATAGTAAATACAGTTTTATTATAGCTACCATAGTTTCACTAAACCTTAAATGTATATTTTTAAAAACAGTTTGCAGCCTAGATGATCCAGATGCAATGTAAGGCACAGGCTCATTTCACAAGGAGTTCACTGAGGTTGCTCGGTGACAAACAGGCACTTGAGTTCACACTGTTCTGTTTAAAGACAAATATGTGGTATTAGCTCCAAAGTGAATGCCTTTATATGCAGATGCCCCTCTGGGTCTCACTGTTCTTCAACTAACAGAGACCCTTCAATCAGCAGCTCTGAGAGCAGATAATGAGTGATCATGCCTTTCTGTCAGCTATCAGGCAGCCATGAGCTGCTCTGATCATCTGTTTGTTGGCTCTTGCCATTTTATTAAAAATGAAAGAGCTGCTTTTTTTTCAGTCTGTGTTCTGAAACTGAGTAGTTAAACAAGGTTTTTGTGTTTTACTCTAAATGACTTTATTACTTTCAGGTTGCTCTGCTTCCCTGCTGTCTTCCCCCACAGCTTCAGAAGGGAAGGAAGGAAATATGTTGGAGTTGAGGATATAGAAAGAGTAGAATAGCCTTTAGCATTTAATTGAAGAGTATTGAAGCAAAGATAAGCAAATATTTCCTTAGAGCAAAGTTAAGTCATGACCACATTTATAGTGGTCACATAAAAGTCCAGAGAGAAAAAAAAGATAGCCATTTCACTTGCATAGTGATTGCATCCCTTGAGAAATTGTTGCTGTTTGCTGGGTGGGAGAGCAATGCCAGCTCAATGCAATTAGACTGTGCAATTCAATAGGGAAGTTTTTGATTTGATTTTGGGCTTGAAACTGAAATCAATTGCTAGGCCAAAGAATATGTCCACCTTATTTTGGCTGGCACATATGTTGTTCCTGGAGCATCCCACAACACCTGTGAATGAGACAGAGCTTTAAAGAATTTAAAGAATATCTGCAGTAATGACAGGCCCAGGGACAATTCTGTCACACAAAGTTTACAGCAGCCTTCTTTTTTTTTTTCCCCTTGAACTGAGCTCTTCTGTTCAATATTTACTGTCTGTTACTAAGACTGATCTTTGTAAATGTGTACTATCTAATTAGTTTGGCTGCAAGTTTCTATGAATGCGACCGTGATGGAAATAGTAATTATTGAGGTACATAGCAAGCCTGGTCAGTTGAGCCAGTGAGCCTTTGAAAATTTGAAATCACTGATTTATCTGATGAAATACAGTGAGCAGAAGCCTTATTTAGTCTAAACAGAAGACTATTTTCTTTATTTGCTTCTCAGAACCCTTTGGTGAACTTTGAAAATTCCTGATAGTTATGAATATATACAAAGGAAACTTGTCCTGGGAAACTGTCATTGTTTTAGGCATTTCTTCATCACTAGCACAGTCCACATGAGAAAGAAATATATTTTTTATATTCTTAGAATTTTTATTAGCCCATTTCTCATGGTTCAACCAGACCTAACATGCTCTAGCCGTTGGGATCCCCTCACCGAGACATCTGTAAATTGTGATCACTTGTTAATAGGTAAATCACAAAAAGTCTGGAAAAAAGTATTGCAGTGCCCCCACTGCACATCCATCCCCTACAGAAAGGGGCAAGCATGTGCAACCAAACACATGCAAAGATGGATGGGTTTTATGTTTTCTTACAGCAACAGGACAGAGGTCTAACTGGTTGAGCATTGGCAGAGGGTCTAGGTCTCATTTCATCTCAGTCAACAGTGCAAGTTCTTGCCATTCTTGGAACTTTGTAAGGCTAAATTCAAAGACATTTAAATCTGAGGCATTTAAATTCCTTGAAACTGAAAGCTTTGGACTGAATTAGAAGCTAGAAATTGATTTGAAATGTCTAATCTTTTTAAGACTGATTAATGATAGATTAGTCAATTGTAGATGAGTCATCACTTTGGAAATGTAAAGTGTAAGAGAAGTGCATTGCTTTCTGAAACAAGTGACATAGAAAAAAGCAAGAAAATGTATCTCAGGCTGCTCGAATGTTTAATGTAATGTGATTACATTAAATTCAGGATATTTTGAGCAAGATTCCTTAAACAGCTTTTATGCAAAATGCAGCCTGTTAGAAGTATAATTGCTTTGCTAGTACATAGTAAGATGAAATAAAGACAATGCCACATTACGTATAAATTGCTGCAACTTAAGAGTGAAAAGGGAAAGCAAACTGAAAGAAGGAAGAGCATGAATGTAGGTATTAATTCTTGGAATAACCTGAACTTCCCAAGAAGTTTTCCACAAAAGTGCAGAAAACAAAACACATACATATATTTTATACATGATTATAAATCTGGCTTATATATATAGATCACTTTTTTAGAATGCAAAGGCTTTCCTAGATGTTTGAAAGAAATACAGTATTTCAATATTACAACATTCCTTTTCTCAATTTTTTGTGGGTTTTATTTTTAACCACACACCCAAGAAGGTTGAACCTTGATATTCTGTGGTCAAACATTTCATAAATATAAATCACTTTGCTGTGTGTAGATTATCAGTGTTTATTCTGTATTCTTTTTCCTAGGCCCAGGTGGAGGAATTACCTCTGCTGATGACTAGTCTTTTCCAAAGAAAACAGTAAGTGAAATGCTGCTTTGTGCAATTTGGTTTATGTTTAATGCTGTGTGAACAAGCAAATGTTGGCTGAATAGACACTTCCATCAGCTATGTGGGAAGTATCCTCGTTCTTTCCAATCTCTCAAGGAAAAATGTGATTTCTTTATCCGAATGTGCACAATTCCCTACAGACTTGCAGGAGCCACATGATTATTCAATATGATTACCATTCACATAAGACTTATGTTGAATAAAAGCTTCATCCTGATTAAGCATCGCTATATCTGACAGTGGCCCAGCTAACAGCTGCAATATGTTCACCCAGAGTGTTTAGAAGCCTTTGAAGGGTCTGAATAACACTCTTTTTCTTGTTCTGCCACCCAAGAGACTTGATCCATTCCTGTGTTTTAGGTTCTCTTACAAGGTTCTTTTTGTCTTGTCTATTACATGGGAAGAATGGGGCTTGGAAATCAGTACAGTGAAATTCTGTGTCAAGTTTTTCTTGGATTTTCTGTGTG